GAAAGAAGGAAGGAAGGAAATAGGTGATCCAGGGGTTTCTAGTGAAACAATAAACCTGGGTAATTTTCTAATACTGTAATTATGTCCCCTTTTAAGCAAGCAATTATGCAAATACATTTCACAGGTTCAAATGTCTAATTTCTTAAAGGCAAGTTGAAGCATTCCTTAAAACTTTCTTCACCTGATCTTCAAATGATAAGGGATGCTTTATGAAGTCTACAGATTACACTTTATTAAACTCTTGTTATGTGAATGAAGAGCATATTGAAATGTAACATACAGCAATGATATGTAGTACATAGATAGGCTTTTCTTTCCATGATATGCAGGACCTTTGAGCCTGAACTTCTAGGCAGACTCTAGGAAGCTCCCTAAAGAAAATAAGGAATGTTATGCAGTGAATATTTTAGCTTAAAAGAAAGAAATTCAGGCTTTGAAACAAGGAGGATGTACACTCAAATCTCAGGTCATTGATTAAGTGGATGACGTTGTGTGAATTTCCAGATGACTGAATTTCTATGAATTTCCAAACCTTTAAATTTATTGCCTTAGCTTCTAAATAAGAATATTGATTTTGGCAAAAGCATTTGAGAGTCTTCAATTGAATATATGATGGGTTTGATCTAAAGCTACCATTTACCTCCTTCTACTGTCACAATGAGAGTTATTACTATAAACTTACAAATACTTTGTGGCTTTAGAATTCCAGAGCTTGTGTCCTGGCTCAAACGGTTCCAAATAAAATTGCACAATCCTCCCACCACACATTACGCACCTCCTCAAGGACAGCTGGATCTCTGTATCACATCGGGCTGCCAAGATGGTCTTTGTAAGGTAAGACTGAAAGGAAAAGGTAGCCAAGGTGCAGAATCGAGTATGTTCCTAGGTACAGGCATCTCTTACTTAACCATAGGAGGATCGCATTTTGAAAAATCACTGATAGTCTTTCTTATCCTCACGTGAAATTGTAAACAGGAAACTCAGAGACACAAAGCATAGGGTGGGATTGGGTAACACAGGCAAGACATATACATGGGGAGTCTTAGCCACATGTAAATATCAAATCCAAATACTTTAGGTTAATCTGTTGATCGTGTCTTCTACTTTCCTTTGTTGTGAAAGTGAAGACTTTAACTACTTTATTATCTGTAGTTAGTGGCATTCAACAGCCTGGTGTTTCCTAAACATGTGCCTTCATTCAATGCCTTGGAGGGGGCCCTGCCCTGTAGCTCAGTTCTTTAAGTGGCTGCTTCAACAAAGCAGTCAGGCTCAGGTTGTTGTGGTTCGATCCCCACAACTCAAGCCAGCCAAACCTGCCCTGAAGGCATTCGGAGAAAAAAAAAATCCAATGCCTTGGAGCTGGCAGCCTTTAAACTAAGATTTCTGCAATGTGAACCTTGAAATTCTATGAAAAGCTTTGTAAAACTGCATAATTTCATCTGCCTCCAAGATCCAGGTCAGCATTTGACTTCTAGCTATGTGTTATTGTGAAAGTTCGGTATGATTTTTAGATTCTTTAAAGGGAGTGTCCTCATGCTCCTGAGATGCCAACTTGATTCACTTGCACCCCTGAGAATAGAATCTCTCTCCTACCAGGGCTGATATTTTGTCTTGTCCTTGGCCACACTTCTCTAGAGCTATATACAATGTCACTCAACTTACAGTGAGACTATGTCCTGATAAGCTCATCTTAAGTTGAAAATATGCTAAGTCCAAAATGCATTGAATACACTGAACCTACTAAAAATAATAACTTGGCAGCACAGTACGCTGCGGAGTGCATGTTGTTCACCCTCCAGACTGCATGTCCAATCAGGAGCTGCTGCCGCCTGGCATTTTAGGAGACTGTTGTGCCACATATTGCTGCTCTGCAGATGCTCAATATTCAAAAATCTAAGTATGGTTTCTCCTGAGTGCATATAACTTTTACACCAGCCTAAAGTGGAAAAATTATATCGAGCCCTTGTAAGTCAGGGACCGTCTGTGTGTGTCTGTTTCTAACTTCTCGGGGCAGTTTCTTTCCTCCCTCTCTCTGTTCCCCCTCCCCACTCTCCTTCCAGTATTACGTCTGCCTCCCTGCTGGGCTCCTTGAACCTCTGCAGAGAAAATCACCACTGAGTAGACCTCATAAGGAGAGAATACGCTTCTGGTCAGTTTAATCTACTTCCTTTCTTCTCTTTTTTATGAATAATTAGTTGTAGAAAAATATTCCGGGTATTCAGTCTTCACATCTGAATTAATATGACTTATCTGCATTCATCTTAAATCAGAGGAGCTTTCTCATTTTGTGAAAAATGCCATCAGTTTTACTTCAATAAGCTTTTACTAAATTATCATAAAATAAATTGTAGTAAAAATATATTTAAATGTCTATAAGTAAAAATAATTTTTCTTACTATTTTTGAATTTAATTATGAAAAATAAAAGGATTAGCTACTGAGTGCTTACCGGATGAGAAATGTTTGTAATTATATGGATGATATTTTAAAAGTCTCATTCAATACTATTATTTTCTTTATTATTAATTTCATTGAGAAAGAAGTAGCAATGAGACAGTTTCAAAACAGGTTAGTAGGACAGTTACAATAATTAATACATTGCATATTGTTGTCTTTGTAGTAGTTATTCATAGTACAAGATGCAGACATGATATCTTGTCTAAACACTATTGATACAAATCTTTCTTCTCATTGAACTCAGAGCAAGTAGCTGTATATCTATCCTAACTATTTTGTATATACAGATATAGACATATTTTTTTTCACTACAAAATGGTCCTTCATTTATATCCCCCTTTTTTTGTTTAGTTTTGTCAGAGATCAATACAATTATTTTCTTAGGACAAGATTCTGTGAACCTTTTTCTGCAGGAAAAAAAAATTGCCTAAGACAGTTTCTTCTGTCTCTATCGCTACACCGGTCATATTAAAGGAGGCAGATAGCATCTGTAGTCAAATAAATCAATAACAATCAATAACACATTCTATAGACATGCTTATCATAAGGGCCTTCGCAGGAATCTGGTTTAACATTTCTTCCAGTATGTTCTCGAAGACAGATGTTATTTTAGGTTCCTATTTTGACTGTATCTTTTTTATGAGAAACAGCATCCCCCTTTAATTTACAGTATTTGCTGTGTGTCCCCCTCATTGTGGAAATGTACATAATTAGGATATGTTTGACTTCTTGGCAGCTTTCCTCCACCCAGGTGACTTCTTTGGTGGTAAGATGTCCTGCAAACCTGAGTCACTTAGAAACTTTTTGGTGGAACATACTGTTCTTTATATAAAGTCAGAAGATCTAGAAGAGATAGGTGAATTGAACATCACCACATGACAACTGGGCAAACAAAAATCAGAACTTATATCTGGATTGAAAATTCCCTTATTTTTAATGTTGAAATGCAGATTGTTGCAATGATTGGAAGCAGGACTTGGAGACAGAAGTGTGAAATGTCACTCAGACGTGGATGACTTTGTGGTTCTGCACCCAAGCGAATGGCACCACCTTCTCCATCTCTTGGGTTTGCTAGCCAGAGGTCTAGGGGTTCCTCTCCACCACTCCTTCTCACTCCCCTAGAGTCCATAATTGTGTCCTGTTGGTTTTCATTTCTTTCATTAATATTATTGGTACACAGGGCCAGTGAGATAGCTCAGCAGACTAAGCATCTACTTAGGCAAGTGCAGGGACTGGGGTTCCATTCCTGGCACCACTGGCCACACCCCCAGGCACACTGAGCGGGCTACTGTCTCAGGGTATGGTGCTACATGCCTGTAATTCCAGCACTGGGGAGGCCGGAAACAGGAGGATCACTACGGGTCCAAGCTGCATAGTGAGACCCTGTATTAAATACGTTTTTTTAAAAAAATTATTGGTACACTTTTGATATACGTAATGATCACATTCATTTTAGGAAATTTGTATCTGTACATAATATATTTTTATTTTTTCTTTTCCCCATCTGCCTCCCCTCCCTTTGACCTTTCTTCCCCTCCTCATTACAAAAGTTTGCTTCCAGTTTCTTTTTCTTTAGTCTCTTTTTTCTTTTCCTTGCCCACCCCCCCCAACCTTCCTGTTCCCCTTCCTTTTGAACTTTTGTTTCCTGCTTCTGGATATCTGTTCTCCATTTTGGTCTTTAAGCTTTCTATTACTTACACAAGAGAAACAATATGACATTTAAACATGTATCTGATTTATTGCATTTAAAAGTATGATCTCAGGTCCATCAGTTTACCCAGAAATGCTTCAAGTTTATCCTTCTTTATGGCAGAACAGTGCTAAATTGTATAGAAAAGCCACACTTTCTTTATCCATTCATGCATTGATGGACATGTCGGCTCCTTCCAAGACTAAGCTTTCCTTTTTTTGATAAGATTAGCTAAGAGTTTGCTATTTTAATCATTCAAAGAGCAAATTCTGCAATTCATTCATTCTCTGTATTATTTTTTTCAGTACCAGGGATCAAACTCAGGACCTTGCACTTGCCAGGCAGGCACTTATGCCCCTGAGCTATCTCCTTGGCCCATGTATTATTTTCATAGTCTCAACTGCACTAGTTTCTGCTCTGATCTTTATAATTCCTCCCTTGCATGTGCTTTGAGTTTGACTTGCTCTTCTTTTTCTAGAAACTGCAGCTTCAACATTAGGTTATTTATTTGAGCTCCTTCTGCCTTTCTGATGTGGGAATTTATAACTATGAATTTCTGTTATAGGACTTCTTTCATGGTATTCCATAAGTTTCAGTATGTTATACTGCCATTACTACTGAAGTTTAGAAATTATTTTCTTCATTAATTTCATCTGTGACCATTTGCTCATTCAGGAGGAAAGTATTTAATGTCCATGAATTTTTGAAGTTCTTGTGGTTTCTTTTCCCATTGATTCTCAATTTCATTGGACTATGATCTCATCATATGTGTGGGATAAGATCACTTCTGTTGCATTTGCCTAAGGATGTTTTATGAGCAGACATGTAGTATTTTTTGGCATAAGTCCTATGTACAGCTGAGAAGAATGTGTATTCTGCTGTTGTGGAGTGGAATAGATATCTACTAAGTCTATTTTCTCAAATGGTTCTTCAGTGGCAAATACAAACATGGAAATGGCACCCTGGATTGGGAGGCATATTTATTTACATTAACAGGCATTGATTGGGATCATTCCTAGATTATCAGGCCCAAACTTTGGTGGCCCATGGCTTTTATATGATGTGCAAGTAAGAAATACAAGGGAGGTACAAAGGTGAGACAGAACAGCTTGGCAGCTCTGATCAGCTAGCAGGGGCAGAACATTAGTTACAAGGGTAGATTAATGATCATCAGCTTGTGAAGCTGGGTACAGTGGTGCAGCCAGGCATTCTGCTCTCATGGTTAAGAGGTCAAGAAAGTGACCACACAGCCATGAAGCAGTTACAGAGCTAGGCAGTTTCAAAAGAATGAACTTTTTAAAAGAAGTCAGACCTTGGAATCATCCCTGTCTCAGGTTTCCTTCTTGAGCCCAGTCATTTAACTTCTGTTTTGCAGAGCTCCTCAGACTATTCCAGATTCGTTAGGATAGAAACAGTAGGGGTTATTTGCAGGGCATTACAAACTTCTGTTTGTTGTTCTTGTTCAGATAACTGAGGGATGTCCTTAAGGTGTATCAAGGGCTGGCCAAATAGCTCAGCAGATTAAAATGCCTGCAAACAGGCGCAGGGGCTGGGAGTTCCATCCCCAGGCCCAAAGTGCTGGCCCCACCCCCAGGGTATGCTGAGATGGCAATTGAGACTGGGCGTGGTGGGGCACGCCTGTAATCCCAGCTCTTGGGAGGCTATAAACAGGTGGATCACTAGGAGTC